ATTCCGAACTGGACCCTTTATTTAATCTACGGGAGTAATCAGTTTTTGTTCCACTGCTCATGTCTGGCAATATATCGTCTAGTTTTTATTTTATTTTATTTTGCACTTCTTCAGTTATTGCTCGCGCGTGAGCAAGTACACACTGAGAGAACCAGGGATTGAATACACAACCATTATGCCATGAAATTCACTAACCGACGCTGATACCAACTAGACATTTGTTATCTTCAGTATTAATAAGTATTTTGTTTCTGATGTTCTAAGAAATTAAATAGATTTTCGTATAACGGTTTTTACTCGTCTCGGTTTACACTTCCTGTTTCATTTCAAGGTCGATCTGTGTGTTATTATTTTTTTTTTCTGCATAGTTTTACCTGTATACTTTGAGTAGAGTATATTGTACGAGTGCTTTACTTTTTATTTGTTTTCGTGTAATTACGACATTAAAATATGTAGTTGTATTGTCTAATTTCCGGCTAATGTTGATGTGCAAGCTATGTTATTTGATACGATAATGGACACATTGTACGTTTCCTGAAACAAGAGAATAAGAATGAACCTATAAACAATAAAACAATTAACAAGAATATATTTTCTGACATTATCAAACTAAATAGAAAGAAGATAAAATAGGTGAATATGTCCTGTATATGGAGATTATCTTTGTCGTACGTATCAGAGAAGAATTCTTTCTGTTGACATGGCAGAATTATTTTATATGCCTGTGCATAGGAACATTGCGATTTCAAAAAATATTACATATTTCGTGAAGAGACAAATACAGAATCATTTCCAAACTCATCAGAAATACTACAGTGAGGAAATGATAGCACTAGTTTATTTAATCTTTTCATCGATTATGCACTGCATTTGCAAACACAGATCTAAAGGGATGGACATTGATCATTTAGGTATTTCATACTATGGGCCAAACGAATCTATCACTAAAACCCACGGATCATGCCTCCTCTATCGAGGCTAATGTATTGTTGATGAGAGAGGTTACGCGAATGATTTACGTATTCATATTTGGGATAAAAATGATCGTAAACATAGAATCAACAGTGTTTCCCATATATTCCAAGAAATACGACTCAAGACAAACGTTTCCAAAACAGAAACTTTGATCTGGAATTGAAACGAAAATCGGTATGATACCTAACCTGAATACATCATAAAACAAACAGAAGTGGATTTAGTAAACACTAAACATTTCAAATATGCCAGTGTATCGTTAGTTATAAGACATCTATTACAGGAAATAAAGAAACTGAACATAACACCGACAAGTACTAAAAAAAATTACCTGAAAACTAGTGTAAAGGTTCTTAAATCGAGCCTGTTATAAGGATATCGATCAAAGTATCTAAACTGTCAGCTGTATACAACCGCTTTCAAAGATTGATGATTGAAATGGCTTTGAGGGAGTGAAGCCTAAGTGTTCTGGAAAAGTTCACACTACCTCGGACATTGATGACTGGCGCTACAGAATAGCAAACAAAGAACTAAACCAAACAAAAGAAATCACTTCATTGAGGACTTTCAAAAGCAGCAATTACTAAAATGGATATAATATGTAACTAGAAGAGAAAATAACGACATAATCAAAATAATTACATTCCACACTATTTCATACAAAAATGTATGGGGGAATGTCACTTCAATACGGCAAAGAACTATAACAGCTACTAGACTTGAGAGGTATATTATCCTAAAAATCTTTTTAAGAGAAAGATTTTAGAAATTTCAGTCGACATTATTACAAGATGCTCGGCCAATGAATTCCGAATATTTCCTAATAAATAAACACCTGGTATTAGCAGTATAATTATCATAATCATGCAATCGTAGGGTATGGTATATTGTATCCTATTCTGTTGGATATGACATATGCTTCGGTTGGGATTACGATTCTCAAGTTGCAAACGAGTCATGTTTTATCTCAAGTTATCTTCTGTGTAAAAAGAAAGAAAGGAAAAATGAAAAAGGTTGCAGCCTATTTTGCTATACTACGTGACATACGACATGTAGGTACCGTTAGCTGTGGGGTAATTCCATGTTAATATATTTTGTTAATATTTTATTTGAAGTTATCGACTCTGATAAAATTATTTTTCGGGATCTATGTGCTATCTCTATTAGTCGTTGTTGCTGTTAAGATATCTCCACGTAATGGTGTTTCTGTTATTTGGTAAAAGTGTTTCTTGCGATTCTATAGCGCAAGTCCGCGAGAAATGCAGGGTTCATTCGCTTGAAGATCCTTTTAGCCATTCATCTAAGAAAGTGACTGTCAACAGTAGGCAGTTTAGAAATTTCAGAATGATTTACAGGACATGTATGATATCCATGTAAATGTCTAGATCTGACGAGGCTATATCTCATGTTCTTAGGTTTCAGTTTTGTAGAATCTTGCGGTATTAGATAAATCTAAACCTCGCGCAGCCTATATACTGTTCAATTTCTTTGTCTATTACACTGAATTTGTTATAAATGATCCTTTCCCCAAAATGGATTGATCATACTATATACTGTTCAATTTCTTTGTCTATTACACTGAATTTGTTATGAATGATCCTTTCCCCGAAATGGATTGATAGTTTTTTCATATTATTGCAACAACGGTAAAAAGCGATCTAATATATATATATATATATATATATATATATATATATATATATATATATATATATATATATATATAGGCAGAGAGATAAATAGAAAAGAAAGAGGTTTTGAACAGAATATGGGAGTACAAGGCACGTTAACTGAACTCTATCTCTAGCATCACGTTAGAAAAAGAACATACTTCTGTCAGACTTACACCTCTCACGTTAATATGTTTATTACATAACGAAAATTTCACGACATATCTCCAATCTTAGTAGAATTATTCAACCGCTGCCGAAAGATGAAATCCTTCTCATCTCTATGGGAATTGTCAAGAGTATGCCAAGTTTTCAAGAAAGAGGAGAAACATTGTCACCCGTATTCATATCGACCCTCATTAATGACTCTTTCAGCCTAATCAGGAAAAAAAAATATGTCAGGCACGTCAACAGTGGTAACCTCTTGATCGACATATTTACTGGGATGTCGATCTGCTAGATCCTTCCTACCAGGTAGGGCAATAAAATTAGTTGTTTACGGCCAGTTCTCCGAGGCCCATGCGATCAATGCACAGGGGTCACTTCTCGCTTTAACCCACTTCCTGCTTTATATTAATTATATAACTGCTGTGGAGGGATTTCGCAGTGGAGGCTTGTATTTGTTCTGAGTCAGTTAGGAACTTGGTATTACGCAGAGTAATCTGGTTGTGGTCGCTGATACTTTCGTATTCG